GATCTATTAATGCTTATTTATAATGGTGTATTTTACTTTGAAGCATTGCTTTATGATGGTGTATATGAAACTGTGATGGTTGTAGACAATTTAGAAAATAGTGTGTTGCATATTGATTCGCCTAATGTTTTAGACAAGGCATGCTTGTGGCATTGTCGTCTTGGACATGTCAACAAGAAGCGCATTGCCCAACTCCAAAAGGATGGAGTGTTGGAATCATTTGACCTAAGGTCAGATGATACATGAGAGTCTTGTTTGCTTGGAAAGATGATTAAGTCACCTTTCACAGGTTCGTGTGAAAGAGGTGAGGGATTGTTGGATCTCATATACACCGATGTGTGTGGGCCCTTCAGATCAACCGCAAGGGATGTAAATCAATTTTATGTGACTTTTACCGACAATTATAGTAGATATGGATATATCTAATTAATCAAGCATAAGTCAGAAACCTTTGAAAAGTTCAAAGAGTTTAAACATGAAGTCGAAAATCAATTGGGTAGGAAAGATCAAGATGCTCAGATCCGATAGGGGTCGTGAGTATCTTAGTATCGAGTTCCAGGACTACCTCAAGGAATGTGGAATTTTTTCACAATTGACACCTCCTAGGATACCGTAACTTAATGGTATGACTGAGAGGCGTAATCGAACCTTGTTAGACATGGTTCGTTCAATGATGAGTCGAGCTTCGCTACCGATATCGTTATGGGGGTTTTGCCTTAGAGATTGCCGCTCATATCCTTAATCTAGTCCCGACAAAGAAGGTTGCCAAAACACCTCACGAGATGTGGACAGGGAAGGTTCCCTCATTGGCACATATCAAGGCTTGGGGTTGTGAAGCTTTCGTTACACGAGAGACTCACAACAAGCTTGAACCTCGAAGTGAGCGATGTATTTTCATCGGCTACCCACATAAGTCCTTTAGATACTTGTTCTATAGACCTAGTGAGAACGTGGTCTTCGTAGCACGAAGGGGAGTTTTCCGCGAGAGGGAACTCATATGAAAAGAGGATAGTGGGAGTATAATTGATCTTGCAAAAATTCAAGAGTCAAGTGATGAAGGAACCTCTAAAACCTAATTCATTTAAAATTTTCGTTTTCATGGTGGAATTGGTAAAATATCATTTACCTACCTTCAAATAATTTACAATTGGATTAGGGCATCCCTCTTCCGAACTGTGAATTATTGTGTTGGGTACTAGCCTTAATATTTCATTTTTGGTGTTATATTAAGGATTCCTTATCTAATCAAAACTTGTCCTTCTTCTTTTGCAGATGTCTACCTCAAAAAACGCTTCCGGTTCCTCCAACAACAACTCCTCCAACACTTTCTTGCTCTTGAGCATCTATGTCAAGGATCCGAAACATACGAATGACCTTGCATTTTGAGGACAAGGAATACGTCCTCGACAAAGACCTGAATGAGATCGATGAGTCCAAATCTACTCCTGAAGAGATAGCTGAGTATAAGGCCCACTGCAAGGACGCGACCAAAGTGTCGTGCATCATGGTGGCCACTATGACTCCTGGGCTACAACGATTCTATGAGGACTATTGGCCTTACGATATGTGTAAGGACTTGATGGAGAATTACCATCAAAGAGCGCGTCAAGAGAGGTACGAAATAGTCAGGTCACTCATTACCATCAAGATGAAGGATGAAGAGTCCATTATGACCCACGTGCAACGTATGAAGAGATATGTGGATCGTTTGCTCAAGCTGAATGTGAACTTCGATGAGGAGCTGACTATTGACATAGTCTTGCACTCATTGCCTCCTTGCTATGATCAGTTCAAAATGACTTATCATTTGAGCAAAGAGGAAGTCACCCTGAGTAAACTTCAAGGCTTGCTAAGAACTATTGAAAGTGGATTAAAAGGAAAAGCTATTGAATGCACTCCGCCTACTACTGCTACTGCTCCAGTCATGGCGATTGGACAAGAGAGGGGAAAAAGAGGAAAACTCCCTCTAAGCAAAGCTGGAAGGGAAAGTCTCATGATGGGTCTTCTTCTAGTGGACCCAAAGAAAAATCCGGTTCTGCTCCCTCTGCCTCAGATCCAAAGGATGCAACGTGTTTCTACTGCCAAGACAAGGGACACTGGAAGAGAAGCTGCCCTAAGTACCTGCAGGACATTAAGGATGGCAAGATCAAGCCTACCTCGGCAGGTATTTACACTATTTTGTCTAAAAATTCATCGCATTCTAATTCTTGGGTCCTTGATACAGGATGTGGTTTTCACATTTGCTCTGACTTGCAGGGACTAAGAGAAAGTAGGAATGTGGAGCTTGGGAAGATGAACCTGATAATGGGCAACAGGTGATCGTCACCTGTTACCACGATCGGTATTTATTCTTTAAAGCTTAGTAGTGGATTATGTTTAGACTTGAATAATTGTTGCTACTCGTCAGAAATGACGAGGAATATTATTTCTTTTCATGGTTTGTACATACAAGGTTTTAGATATTCTTTTAATAATGAGAATGGATCTATTAATGCTTATTATAATGGTATATTTTACTTTGAAGCATTGACATATGATGGTGTATATGAAACTGTGATGGTTATAGACAATTTAGGAAATAGTGTGTTGCATATTGATTCGTCTAATGGTTTAGACAAGGCATGCTTGTGGCATTGTCGTCTTGGACATGTCAACAAGAAGCGCATTGCCCAACTCCAAAAGGATGGAGTGTTGGAATCATTTGACCTAAGGTCGGATGATACATGTGAGTCTTGTTTTCTTGGAAAGATGACTAAGTCACCTTTCACAAGTTCGTGTGAAAGAGGCGAGGGATTGTTGGATCTCATACACACCGATGTGTGTAGGCTTTTCAGATCCACCACAAGGGATGCAAATCGATTTTATGTGACTTTTACCGATGATTATAGCAGCTATGGATATATCTACTTAGTCAAGCATAAGTCAGGAACCTTTGAAAAGTTCAAAGAGTTTAAACATGAAGCCGAAAATCTATTGGGCAGGAAGATCAAGATGCTCAGATCCGATAGGGGTCGTGAGTATCTTAATATCGAGTTCCACGACTACCTCAAACAATGTGGAATGGTTTCACAATTGACACCTCCTAGGACACTGCAGCTTAATGGTGTGGCTGAGATGCGTAATCGAAACTTGTTAGACATGGTTCGTTCCATGATGAGTCGAGCTTCGCTACCGATATCGTTCTGGGGGTTTTGCCTTAGAGACTGCCGCCCATATCCTTAATCTAGTCCCGACAAAGAAGGTTGCCAAAACACCTCACGAGATATGGACAGGGAAGGTTCCCTCGTTGGCACATATCAAGGCTTGGGGTTGTGAAGCTTTCGTCACACGAGAGACTCACGACAAGCTTGAACCTCGAAGTGAGCGGTGTATTTTCATCGGCTACCCACAGAAGTCCTTTGGATACTTGTTCTACAGACCTAGTGAGAACGTGGTCTTCATAGCACGAAAGGGGAGTTTTCCGTGAGAGGGAAATCATATGAAAAGAGGACAGTGGGAGTATAATTGATCTTGAAGAAATTCAAGATTCAAGCGATGAAGGAACCTCTAACACTGGTGCTCAACCCGAGGATGAAATTCTTGTTGAACCAATTGACGAGTCGTTACCTCTTACACGTTCCACTTAAGTTAAAATGGAACTAGAGTTTTATGGTTTTCATATTACTACGGATGGTGATACGTTTATCAGTGATAGTACACTGATAAATTTTGATGAGTCTACTAACTGCAATGAAGCCATCGCGGGCCCTGAGTCTCCTAAATGGAAAGAGGCAATGGACAGTGAGATCCATTCCATGTATGACAATCAAGTTTGGAACTTGGTTGACAATGTACCAAGTCGTAAGACAGTTGGGTGCAAATGGATCTTCAAGAAGAAGACCGACATGGATGGAAAGGTACACACGTTCAAGGCATGGCTGGTTGCGAAAGGGCTTTACTCAAACCCCAGGGGTTGACTATGATGAGACATTCTCACCGGTGGCTAAGATCAAGTCTATTAGGGTTATGCTAGTCATAGTTGCGTTTCCTGATTATGAAATATGGCAGATGGATGTCAAAACCGCTTTCCTTAATGGGAAGTTGGCTGAAGATGTTTACATGAGTCAGCCAGAGGGTTTTGTGGATGCTAAGTACCCCAATAGAGTGTGTAAGCTTGAAAAGTCAATCTATGGATTGAAACAAGCTTCTCACAAATGAAATCTTTGCTTTGATGAGAAGGTCAAAGAATTTGGCTTCTCTAGGAGTGAGGATGAGTCCTGTGTATATGTCAAAGCTAGTGGGAGTATAGTTAGCTTTCTAGTACTGTATGTTGACGACATACTGCTCATAGGAAACAACGTTCCAACCTTGCAGGAAGTTAAGTCCTGGCTTGGAAAGTGTTTCACTATGAAGGATCTAGGAGAGGCTGCTTATATTCTGGGAATAAGGATTTTGAGAAATAGGAGTAGAAGACTAATTGGACTTAGTCAAAGTACTAACTGGCAGTTTAAAAACCATGAATCGACGATCAACGAAGACAAATTGGACTTAGTCAAAGTACTTACTTGAGAAATAGGAGTAGAAGACTAATTGTCTTCATTTATCGTCGATTTATGGTTTTTAAACAGCCAGTCACCATTGTCGATCACCCAAACTCACAATAAAATCAAAGTTTTAGACCAAACTCGCAATAAAATCAAAGTTTTGGACAACTGATGCTAGTCCAAACCTTTTTGGACTAAACTTACGAGTTGTGACATAACACATGAATCATTTGTACAATTTTGTCTATTAACTTTGGAGACTAAATACACAAAGTATTATATTTTAGACCAAATATGCAAGTTGAAAACTATTTGGACCAAATCTACAAAAAATTATCAAACAATAGGGACCAATTTTGTAGTTTAATCTAACAATAATAATAATCAAATGTAAAGGGCAAGACTTAAATTCATTCATATTTCAAGGGGGAGAAGTAAAGAACAATTAAACCAACTTCGTGGATCCCGATTTGAAATCATCGATCCGCCAAAGCCCCTTTCAAAGTTCAAACGGCTACATCTCTTCCTCCCTGTCGATCCTTCTCTTTGCTGGCATCTCATAATTTCTCGGTAGTTGTCGGTGGAACCCTAATATACTCTCACACTCTCTGATCACTAGTCTGAACAAGGTTTTTTGAAAGATGAAGCGCGTTATGCAACCATTAAACCTTAGTTCGATAAAGCATAGTAAATCTTCTAGTCGAAAACAGAAATATTCCAACGAAAATGTTCCACCTCCAGACGTCAACGCCATTCCAGATTCATTTCCGTCTCCATCGTTTACAGGTAAACCATCTCCCGCCGCTGCCAGTAAACTGAAATCTCCACTCCCACCGAGACCTCCTCCCTCGAATTCTCTCAAGCGGAAGCTTAGTAATGAATTGCCTCAGGAAAATGGTGTTGCTGGATCTTCGGATACAGGAGTGAAGGTAAATTTATGAGGGATCATCTTTTTTTTTTTACAAGTTTTTAAACTGTGGAGTTCTTCAAGAATTTATACAAGAAGCAGCCTTTACACATCTAGGAATATATTTAATTTTGTCATGACCCTCTTCGAATTAGGTTATTGTGCGAATGAGGCCACCAAGCAAAAACGAAGAAGAGGGGGAAGTTATATTACAGAAGACATCTGGCGATTCTTTGTCCATTCTAGGGCAAACATTCACTTTTGATTCTGTAGCTGATGCAGCATCAACTCAGGCAGGTTTCTATTATTTTTTATATGAAATAAATACACATTTTAACACTGATGAAATGTTATTCTGTTTCTGTTGCATTCAATTTGCTTTTACAGGTAGATATATTCCAGCTTGTAGGAGCTCCCCTTGTTGAAAATTGTATTGCTGGATTCAATAGCTCTGTGTTTGCATATGGGCAGGTATTCTTTGTCTTCCTTGTGCTGACTATAAATGTAACAACTTTCTTTCTTTTGTTTTCATGGCTACTTATATTAATGACAAACCATGAATAAATTTTGAGTAGACTGGGAGTGGAAAGACCTACACAATATGGGGGCCTTCCAATGCATTGTTGGAAGATGAGTCATCTAGTGATCAACAAGGATTGACACCCCGTGTTTTTGAAAGGCTATTTCTTCGCATAACTGAGGTAAGATTGCATGTCATGTCTTTGTTTCACCTGTCAAGTCTATATTGAATTATCTTGAATTCTTGATGTTCACTTGCCCTTTTGCTGATGAGTTAATGGCAATTTGCATAGGAACAAAATAAACATGCTGACAAGCAACTCATGTATCAATGCCGCTGTTCTTTTCTTGAGGTAACATGATAATTTATTTATCATGGACAATTGAACTTCTGTTGTTACAAGTATCTTAAATCCTAATTCTGGGAAACTGTATTTACAGATCTATAATGAACAAATTACTGATTTGTTGGATCCAGCTCAAAGAAACCTTCAAATAAGAGAAGATACTAAAACAGGTGTATATGTTGAAAATTTAACAGAGGAGTCCGTTTGCAGTCTAAAAGATGTGACAAAACTTCTGAAAAAGGTTTGGATACTTTACTCTTGTTTAATGAAAGGTTTCCATTATAATGAGTGCCACAACCATCAGTAATCGATCATATCAAGATTCTTCATTTGTCTCTGTTTTATGTTTTTCTTAATATGATAATTGTATCCAGGGGTTGTCAAATAGAAGGACAGGAGCTACAAGTATAAATATGGAGAGTTCACGCTCTCACAGTGTATTCACTTGTGTTGTTGAATCACGATGCAAGGTAATAATAGATGGTGAAATTTCAAGTTATTTGCTTTTTTGGTGTCCTATATAGTAATTTTATCTTGTGTTTTCATATCCACAATTCAAAATTTATAGAGCAAAGATGGCTTGAGTTCCCTCAAAACAAGTCGAATAAATCTTGTTGACCTTGCTGGATCCGAGAGACAAAAGTCAACAGGTGCAGCAGGAGAACGCTTAAAAGAAGCTGGGAATATCAATCGTTCACTTTCACAACTCGGGTATGTCACATGATTTATATTATGTTTCATTGATTTCATTTCTATTGATCTTTTCTAAAGTTCATTTATGTTTGACAACTGCAGAAACTTGATTAACATTCTAGCAGAGGTTTCCCAAACAGGAAAGCAAAGGCACATTCCATATAGAGATTCCAAGCTGACATTTTTGTTGCAGGAATCTCTTGGTGGAAATGCAAAACTTGCCATGGTCTGTGCCATTTCACCTTCAGAAAGGTAACAATAACATGTCATTTTCTTTTTGATCCTTTTATTTGTGTGTGTGTGTGTGTGTGTTTAAACTTTTTATAATTCAATGAAACAGCTGTAAGAGTGAGACTTTTAGTACATTGAGATTTGCAAAACGTGCAAAAGCTATCAAGAACAAGGCAGTTGTTAATGAACAAATGCAGGAGGATGTGAACACACTACGTGAAGTGATTCGACAACTAAAGGTACATTTTCCATTTTTTTTTTAATTCAAGTTTGTGATACAGCTACTGATTGGAATTATTGATATATAACAGGATGAACTAATACGCATGAAGGAAAACAACAATTCACCTGATCCAAATACAGGGTGGAATGCACGTAGAAGTTTGAATCTTCTGAAATACAGCTTAAATCGTCCTATGATGCTACCTCATATGGAAGATGATGAGGATGAAGAAATGGAAATTGTTGAGGAAGCTGAACAAGTTCTTTTGGAAGCCACTGAAGCTTGCAAAAATATGGAAACAGGTAGATATGATCATGTGAAACCCTAACTAGTGATTTTAAGCCAAAAATGTCTAGAACTGAAAGCATTAACCACAATTTGTTTGACACAGATGTCAATATGAAAGATGAAATATCTGAACATAATCTAACAATACTACAATCTGAAGTATCCCCAATACTCAAGTCTCCAACTCCAAGTGTTTCACCAACAGTTATTAGTATCAGCATGAAAAGTTTGAGGACTTCATCAACACTGTCTGCTTCCCAAAATGCCCTTGCAAACAATATTTCAGAAGCTATCATGCTTTCCCATGGTCAAACTGATCGTTTGACTGCGAGTCTGCATCATGGTCTTGAAGTAATTGATAAACATAGAAAAAGTTCCCCTTTGGGGCGTTCATCATTCAGGTTTCCCTGTACACCAGTTAGAAAAGATGTTGGTGTTCAAACTTTTTCTCTAGAGAACGTGTTATCTAAAGAGAAAGAGAAATCCATGGAGTATTTGTGCAACAATTGCAAGAGTAAAACATCTGAATTAGTAGAAGATAAAGATACACATGAACATGATACTTCAAATCTGCAGTTGGTTCCTTTTGATGGGTCACAATTGGTTGAAAAATCCAAGCAGCTAGTTCCAAAAGTAATATTTTTTAACAGAAAAAAAATTCTTTGTTCATTTTATTTTGAGATTAATTCATGTGTAACATTCTTGTAGGCAGTGGAAAAAGTCTTGGCTGGAGCTATAAGGAGAGAAATGGCTTTAGAAGTGTTTTGCACTAGACAACACAATGAAATTATCCAACTTAATCGTCTGGTATGCTTGTTTTCAATTCCTCAATGCCAATATGAAATTACTTTTTTACCCTTTAACCATTTTCATATCATCACAGGTGCAACAGTATAAACATGAACGTGAGTGCAATTCGATTATTGGGCAACTGCAAGAAGACAAAATCACCCGTCTTGAGAACTTAATGGATGGTGTTTTGTCTGCTGAGGAGTTTGTAAATGAAGAATTGACATCTTTAGCAAATGAACATCAAGTATGCATACGCCTTCCAGATTTTCTCAACTTTCTATGGTTCTTTCATTTTTACTATTTTAAAATTTTCATGCTTCTTTTTTTACATGTGGTACAGATTCTAAAGGAAAAATACGAGAATCATCCGGAAACTTTAAGGAAAGAAATCGAGTTGAAAAAAATACAAGATGAATTGGAACGTTATAGGAGCTTCTTTGATATGGGAGAGAGGGATGTGTTAATGGAAGAGATACAATATTTAAGGAGTCAACTTCAATCTTATGTAGATTCTTCACCAAAATTGTCTAAAACACAAACTCCTGTTTTACAAATAACATATCCATCTGAAACCAACGAATCCCCTTCTTTATCCACAATCCCAGAGTCAATTGCTGAACAGAGATTTGAATCAGAGAGAATCAGATTCAACGAAGAAGAAAGCAAATGGATTTCTGTTACACAAGAGTTGAAAAGTCAACTAGAAGCCAACCGATTGCTTGCTGAAAAGCAAAAACAAGAACTTGAAACAGAAAGAAAATGTTCACAAGAGCTTAAAGAAGCAATGCAAATGGCAATGGAGTGTCACGCAAGAATGCTTGAACAATATGCTGATTTAGAGGATAAACATATGAACATGCTTATAAGGCAAGGTCAAATTCAAGATGGGATTGAAGATGTGAAAAAAGCAGCTACAAAAGCTGGAGTAAGGGGTAATGGATCGAAATTTATAAATGCCCTTGCTGCTGAAATTTCAACCTTAAAGGTGGAAAGAGAAAGGGAGAGAGGGCGTTTTAGGGATGAAATTAAAGGGCTTAAGGAACAATTGAGAGATACTGCTGATGCTGTACAAGCTGCTGGTGAATTACTTGTAAGACTCAAAGAAGCAGAAGAAGCTGTTGCTTTTGCAGAGGTCAGTTTCTGTTTATCATTTTTTTTTGTCATTAGAATAACAAAAGTTTTAACTTCATATTTTCATGCAGACACGAGCTTTAGATGCAGAACAAGAAACAGAGAATGCTTACAGACAAATTGAAAGGCTGATGAAAAAACAGAAAAAAGAGACCTCAATATCAATATCAACATCAACATCAACATCAACCCCAGTTTATGATATGCCAATATATGATGTAGAAGAGTCAAACAACTATGATAAACAAGAGTTGACCATGTTGCCACAACCATCTTCATGGTTCTCTGGATACGATAACTGTAACATATAGGTATGCAAGTTTGTAGGCTGTTATAAGTTATGCTTTATTTTATATATAATTACCAAAGCTTATTACAATAATAATAAAATAATTTGTGATGTTATGGTATGTGTTATGGTCCGTTTGACCATTTCAACTTGTATCATCTTTTAACCATTTGATTTCTTATATTAATAAAAACAAAAAATGAAGTCTGGTTTTCATCCATTTGATTTCTTATATTAATAAAAACAAAAAATGAAGTCTGGTTTTCATCCATAAAGTTACTTTTACCTTTTCCAAGTACGCTGATTATGCATTAAGAACATATACAATGTCGGTCTTTTCTCCTTGAAGCACTGGAATCGAACTTGTCTCAAATTCTTTTAAAACCTTGACAACTTTTGGACCAAAGAGAACATAATGATCCACATCAGTAGTTTGGGGTACAAAGATTAAGGGTGCGTTTAGTTGCGGAAAAATGGGTTGTTTTCCGGAAAAAATTTCTAAGAAAAATGAGAATTTTGAGAACGCATTTAGTTCGTCTATTTTTCTAATTTTTTCACAGAAAATGAAAATTTTTCATTTTCTAAAATTACAAAAAAGTCGGAAATTTTTGGAAAAACAATAATCATTGTTTTCCACATTTTTCTAATTCCAAAATTTTTCTAAAATATAAACGCACACCTACTCTCACCCCACCCACCTCTACCCAACCCACCTTAACACCCACAACACCCCTACCTACCCCCCCCCCCCACAAACACAAACACACACCTCCACCCACACCGCCACAAAACACACACCCACAAACACGAAAACACCCCCACACCCACACACACAAAACCCACAGTCCCACACAAACCCACCCCCACCCCCACCCCCACCCCCACCCCCAAACACATATACACAACCCACCCAAACCTACACCCACCCCCACCCCACCCCACCCCTCCCCCATACATACACACACACCCACACAAACCTACACCCACCCCCTCCCCCTCCCCCACAAACACACACACACACAACCCACATCCCCCCCACCCATCCCCCCCTCCCCCCCAAAACACACACACACACTCCAAGGTATACTGATATACCTTATGCTGACATGTCATACCCCCGACCAAGCCGGCGGAACATGTCGGGATGTGGGACTTAGTTCATGGATCTCAGGCAATTTGGATACATATAGAACAAGTACAACGATAAACAAAATAGTAGTAGTATTCCATCTTGAAGTTTGAATACAAGGTTTTACAAATAATAATAGAGTACAAGAATTGCCTTAAACAGGTAGGCAAATATAACAAAAACTAGGTTGCTTGGAATCTGTGACTATTCCTTCGTCTGAAATGCCTTCTTAGTGATCCTGAGAATACATGTAGTTTTGAAGGTTAACACAAGGTTGGTGAGAGTTACAGGTTTTATGATAATGTAGTAATGGTACTTTTAAAATGACCAAAAAGTATTGTCTTTGTGAATAAAACCATATTTATTAAATGTTTTGTAAAGAGAAACTAACTCCATGGTTTGTAGAGAGAGAGAGAGAGAGAGAGAGAGAGAGAGAGAGAGAGTTAGTTCATGTTTATAGTGAGTCCTATAACTGAGCTATGTGACTAGAGTACCCCCTACAACGATTCATTGGACATCGTACAAATGACTTAAGATATTTATCACCCACTTTGATTTGACCGTTGAGGTTGTAGCTAGTAACCGTAGGTGGGGGTGTCAACCCGTGTAGATCTATACATATGTATCTTGCTCTGAGATTAACGATTATAGAGGTGTGAGTCTACTAAATGTTTATACTTACGTAATGAATAGCGTCTCACTATAAAATCCATAAACTAATGTGCATGGATAAATACCTGCCCTATCTTATATGTGGATAAGCATCTGGGGCGTAATGATCGAGAGTGAATAGCCCTAACTTATACGTGGATAAGTCACTAGGAAAAATGATTTACAATGGATAGAATTTTACAATAAAATTTGAGTATGTTTGATAAGTATATATGTAAAGGTGTAAGTAAGATACTTGTTTTAATAAAGTGGTAAATCTCATGGCAGTGTACACAAGTACATGTGTTAATCCAAGTTATAGGATTTATAACTGATATATATATATATATATATATATATATATATATATATATATATATATATATATATATATATAATATATATATATATACAACTTGTTGAGACAATCCGAAGTCTGAAACTTTTACAACGCCATATGAGTCCAAGAGAAGATTTTCAGGTTGTAATAAGAAGGGGTAGATAAGTAATCAATAAACCACAAACCAGTTCATTACATATGAGTTATGAACTGATGATAATGATGATGAACAAATAAGAACCTTGATATATCTGTGAAGCATGCCTCTACTATGACAGTAATCTACAACATTAAATCAATGTGCCTCCTAAATACTCCACAGTTCTGCAACCATCGTCTCCTTCCAGCTTTTTTGTCACTGAAATCAAATATTCCAAGAAAGCATCAGAGAAGAAGATGAAGAATTAAAACTTTATAGAAAGAGACATAGAAGAATCAAGAAAGACATCGAATGGTTAAGCAGAAGAAAAGAGAAAGCGGTGGGAGGAAATTTGAAGCGTAAACCACCCATATTGGGCGAAGGTAATCGAGTGAAACCTAGCAATGGACGATTTGGGGTGAACGAACCGCTATCGTCTCTTTTTTTATTGAAAGTTGGCGTCACTGATTTCCTGATCACCCTTTGCTCAAAGAAAATTGGAAGATGACGGTGGCGACCCAAATCGATGTCAGCCACTCCAATTTCAACGTACCTTCTCAAAAATCAAAAACTTCAAAATAAGGAACTACATCTTCCAGAATCGACCTATAGAGTGAGAATTAGGGCAGGAAATAAAGGGAAAATACGTGCTATAGTAAAAAATAGGGAAATTTAGACATGAAAAATGAAAATTCCGGATATAGACATGCGTTTTGCGGACCTCCGCGGAACCATGAATTCTCCGCGGAAGGTTAAATTATGTTCTTTTTTCTTAATGTAATGTTGGTCCGCATAGATATCTCCGCGGAGACATTAAGTCCTACGCGGAGGGATTGGTTTGGATGTTGATTAAAGCCTCCGCAGAGGAGGTGACGCGGTGCTCCGCGAAGGCCTTAAAGTCTCCGCGGAATGGGTGGTTGCAAGGCTTTTAGCGACGGTTTTTTGTGATATAAACGGTTTATTTCATTTTTTTAGATCCATTTGCAATATTAGATCGGTTTTAGTGTTAGAAATTTGTTTTCAAAGAAAATATGAGTTTTGTTATTTTATGTATGGGGGGTTTTTGGCCGATCAGTAATGGGATTAACACCTACGTTAGACCAAAGTTGTCCAACTTAGGTTTACTGCTTCCGCCAAATTTTGACCGTCGAATTTTGTTTGATTTGGTCAAAAGTAAAGCTAATGCGTTCAATAGTAATATATCATTGTCATTTCAACACCCGGTTCATGGGTATGTTATGAATGTTATAGACGAAGCAGATGTTCATCAACTCAGAAATGTAATTTCTGAAACGAAGGAGATTGTGGATTTGTATTTGGAGGTGTTTGAGGGAAGGGTCGAACATACAAAAGCTATTGACAAGATTGTACCATACAATGTTGAAAACATTGTATCTGATAATGTTGAAGAGTGTCCATAAGAAGAAACTGTGGCAGTGAATACAGTGGAAGAAGAAAATTTATATGAGTTTGGAAGACTGTGTGACAAAACTTTGTCAGACGATGAAGAGTCAAATCAAGGCTGGTCAGAAGATGAGTTCACACACGGAAAAAAAAGCTTCAAACATCTTTTACGGTATGCCTCCCATACCTGATTGTCCTGATCCTATTATTGAACCTGGACCATTTCACATTTTAGGTCTAAATGATGATATGTTTGTTCGTCAAACGTATTATAACAAACAACAATTAATATTTGCTTTGAGTCTTAAAGCAACCAGAGAAAAGTTTCAGTTTAAGACAAAATATTCTAACAAAAACCGTTATGAGTTATATTGTGAAATTGAGAACTGTACTTTGCGTTTATATGCAAAACGCATTGATCCCACTGATGAATTTGAAATTAGGACTTTCAACAACGTGCACACATGTTCGTCATTACAGATACACCCAAATCATAAGCATGCAAATAAAAAAGTCATGGGTACTATATTGCATGAGATTATGGGAAAAACTCGTTCCAAGGTTTGGAGGCCTAATGACATATCAAGGGATTTGAATGCTTTGCTGGAAATCAAAGTAAATTACAAACAAGCTTGGCGTGCAAAACAATATGCTATGGAACTGTTGTTGGGATCCTCTGAAGAATGTTTTTCCAAACTTCCTATTTATTTTCACAATTTGAAGAGGCATAATCCCGATACGGTGGCCTATATACAAACAGATTTAGAAGATTGTTCCGAGTGTTGTTTTTATGCCACTGGGAGCACGGTAAATACAAAAAACTTGTTATTTAATATATAATTAATTGTAAAAAAATTTATAGTGTTTATGTGTTCCATTTTCATATATTGCAGATACGAGCGTTCAAACGTTTTTGTCGTAAAGTTATAATTATGGATGATGCCCATTTGAAGGGTGATTTTAAGGGAACCATATTGCATGTAGTCGCTATGGATGGGAACAACCAGATAGTGCCCCTCGTGCACAGAATATGCAAAAAAAGAGTGGTCTTACTTGGACATGGTTTCTTGAAAAGTTGTATGAATGCGTTGGTGATTGTCAAGATTTGACGTTTGTAACTGATAGGGACGATGCAATTCGGGTTAGTATTGAAAATGTTTTCCCACATGCTCATCATGGCGTATGTGCTTTTCATCTACTAGGAAACATAGTACACAGGTTTGGGAAAAATGATAAAACAAAAGTGTTGTTTTGGAGGCTTGTGAGAGCTTACAAAAGAAATGTTTTTGAAGATTTGTGGTATAGATTTAGTACTACTAGGCCGCAAGTAGCGGCGTATCTAAGTGAAATTCCACGTGCTAAATGGACTAAAGCATATTCCCCGTCGAAACGGTACGATTACATGACCTCGAACAGTGCAAGGAAGATGCCTATA